CCCTCCTAGCAGCCATTTCCGATTCCACAGTCTTGCTGGGCTGGGGTCAGAGTATTTGTGCTCAGAACCCAGGGTCTCCGTGTGGTGTGGCGTGGGACAGGTCTGCCGACCACCACACTTGTAGGGAAGTGTTGTCACTCGGCACCTTCTCGGTTCCCGGCACTCACATCTTTTTAGTTTTCCTCCGGCGACTGTTAATATTTGAAAACCAGTGGTTAAAGGTACAAAGAACTATTTTAGGAATCTAGGAATAAATGCTTTGCAGTTGTAGTGAAACAATCCTTTGATGATGGAGCCCTGTTCTGTTTCTCCTCGCTCTCCTGGGGAAGCGGATGTTGTGGTTTGCCAAACTCCGCTGAAGGGCTTTATTTTTTTTTTTATTTTTTTATTTATTTTTTTTTTGATTCAGGCCTGTTACTGCATGTGAGCCTGTGATAACCAGCTATTAGTATAGCTTTATTTAAGTCTCAGTTTTTAAAATGCTGCAAGGTTGCACCTGAATAAAATGAATTAAAAGAAAATCACTGGAATTTAAAATAGCCAGGGATAGGTTTCTTTTTCTTCTGGTGCCATAACGCCCCAGTCTGTTTTTTCTTCTTCTTTCTTCAAGGGCTTCCCTTTGTACGCTACCCTAGGAGCAGACACAGGATTTTGTCATCTTTTCTTCTTTGGGTTTAAAATACCATTTGAAGGAATGCTTATCTGTCTTCTGTAGTCCTTTTCAGGCCCAGCATCCAGGGCTACATTAGGCTGGATCCAGGGCTCCAAACCAAGGCGTGGTGCATGCCCTCAGGAGCTTTTCTGCCGATTGGGGTCTCCCTGGGTACGTCCTGTCCGGGTGTGGGGGAGGACAGACCCTCTCATGCCGTGGGAGCCACCCTGGGAATCGAGTGCTTCTCTCCACAAGGAGGTGAGCCTGGGTTAGGTGGAGGGGGTGGAGGAGGACATTTCCGGCAGAGGGAACAGCTGGGGATGTGGTGCAGCATGGGAAGGGCATGGCATGGTGGAGAGGCAAGGCATGCGTGAGGCCTGTAGAGATGTGCATAGGGAGGTGGGCTGGCAGGGCCAAAGCGTAAGAGA